ATTAAATGTCTTGTGGAGTAATTAACATGGTGGAACTTGTATGCGTTCACGGGTCAGTGTCAGGTTCAGTATAAACACAAGCAAAGTGTAGTTCTTCACTGCCCATGTAGCTGAGGAGTTGTTTCTGGGTCGGTTGCTCGAAAGCAGATCTTAAGTGCTGTGTAAGTGCTAGGCTACTTTAAAATTAAAGTATGTTCCCCGAAAGTTTCGTTACGTACCACGTAAATACGTAGATTAATGAGAACTTAAAACCACTCGTCGGACAGTAGCATGCAGCTACAATAAAAAACACTGACACAATATAAAAAATGTGCATTACTGCGCAACTGCGAACACTTCAAAAGTCAATATGAACCAATAATAAAAGCATAAACAATTGTAACTGTATTCAGAAAAAAACTACGGACGACAAATTACAATATTAGATAATGATTGTATATGGAGACTATATTTCTTAAACAGTGAATTTGCGACCACACCTATGTTTAACAATAAATTAATGTATTTCTGTTAAGCGCTTGGCGCGTTTCTGCAGACAGGTGTTGATCTTCTTGCTCTTCCTCCTCTTCTTCTTACACGGGCAGGTTCAAAAGCCTCAGCACAACAGTTTTTGTGCAGCGTGGCACTCACTACTTGTATTGCAGGGCAAACAATCACCTTTTTGATTTATGGACGCATACAAAGAAATGTACACCTCGGTTCATGGGGCCGTGGCCGTAATTGTAGCCCTGCACTGTGTCCTTCTATTATTTTTATGACTAACAGGTATAATGTTATAGGTTAACCATTGCCAGATCGCATCTGGTATAATGCTCGCATTAATTGAATTATATAATAATTATAATTACTGAACTATTTATTGAATTCTTATATTTATATACGTATAATATAATCTTAGCTATATGTTATATGTATTTATATATATATAGCATTATATAAATACATATATGGCTTACATAAAATAATAATCACTCTAAATGATTATAAATATGAAATAAATAATCTATATATTGGCATTTTTTTTATAATAAATTCAATATTTTTTTCTTACAGAAAATGAACAATAGGACAAATTCTTTAACAAACTGTAGACATTTTCACTTTTGTAAGGTCATATTGTAAGGTTGTAATTTAAAAGTTGTATTTACATTTGATTTTATAACAAACGACCCATGTGCTGGTTTTGGAAACGGTACTCCGCCATCATTAAATAATGTACGACATAAGCGAAGACGATCTTTAGAGGGTGATTTGTAACTGTATTGGAAAACAGGGCCTAGTGCAACTTTTAGAGGAGAAAGGTATTGGAGAAAGCCTACTGTATATGCAACTATAGGTTCATTTCTTAAATAGCATCGTCAAATATTGTGGGAAAATATAGGCTAATATAACTAATACTGTTTAATAACTTCAAATAATTAGAAAAGTTAGGATATTTTGAATTATTTGTACTTGTCACCTAAATAGACCATCTTATTTATCAGCAAAATAAAATAATATTATAAGCACTGCAGCACATAGAACTAAAGTAATGTGCCTGAAGATATAATTTTCATCAAATACCAAAACGATTAACCTAAAAGTTTAAATTAAATAAAGTTTTAAAGTAACCTTTTTTGATATTAGTCACATAGTGTCTTCTACGAGTAGCCTAATATGTTCCAAGGAGCCAACACTCCACAAAAAAGGTTCATTGAAGTAAAAAAAGAATATTTAATACGACTAAATCAACCTAAATTCGGTTACACCCATAATCGTTATTTAAAAAAATATATATTTATGCATGTAAAAATGAAACTTGTATGAAAGTTTATTGGCTGGCAAGCAGCCACACAACACCTGCGATGACTTCATGCATGTATCTCTGTCTCCTAAACAATACAGTTTGTTTAGTTTATGAATGCAAATATTAGTTTAGTACAATATAAGTGAAACATGATTTATTTGCTAGCTTTTTTATGTTTTTTCGTAACAGAAAAGCTGCGTTACATCTGCCGTGGAATGTCAAAAATCTATCAATGTCAGTCATTCAGCATTATAGCAGCGCTCCCCTGTGAGAAAAGGATTCTCAAAAATGTCACTGCTTGTTCGTTTCACAAAAACAAGTTTTCATGTGTTTTTAAAAGCTGTCATACTTGTTTGACTGACACAAAACCTGCAATTAAATATTTAATAGTCAGAACAAAAATCTGTTTGTACACAAGGATACATATATTTCGGCCACTTTTGTTAGATATTTTGTTTTATAACAATATGCCTATTTGGTCTTAGGTTTTCAATTTTTTTCCATTTAGATGACGGTAGAAACATTGATTAGAGACTGACCAGCACTACACTAACAGCTCGAAAATGGATGCCCCCTAAGGAAAAAGTTACAAGGTCGCACGCTACAGAAGAGCCTTGTCCCAGAGTTCACCGATCTCGTAAGTCATACGGTGCAAAGCAACAAAGGAGAAACACATTCAGATGTCCTTTTTCTATTGCCACATCAATATAACCAAAAACCCACAATGAAAGCAAGAGCACCGGTGGAACCCCAGGAAGCCTGTGAGGGTGCACACAGAAGGTACACGTTGAGAGAGCCAGTGGGGTCAAGGGGTGGGAGAGGTCGGCCGACCCGGCTGAAACGAAACTAATGGGACAGAAAATGTGTCCCCAAATTGAACTCGACTTTTCTTAGTTGCCACAAACTTCAATAAAGTACCTTTTCAGCTTCGCGACATAGAGGCGACAGCATCTCGAAAGAGACTGCCGGGATGCTACGATTTAGGCGTGCACATTCATTTCTCTCTGCTGTTCAGTCACATAATGGTCCCTGAATGCAGTTCTGCACCTACTCTTTTCAAGTGCCTTTCCAAACTCATGGCCAGGCTGAGACGATGGCCAGTGCCTTTCTTCTCATTTAGGGTTGAAAAAACTATCCGCTGAAACATATTTTGCAGTGACGCTTTTGTGCACTATTAAGTGCCTGTACAACTTAATACATTCGAAGTACAATTGACTATTGCTGCCGGACTTGATTGATGGTCTAAAATGACTCACTCCTTTGTGCTTCTCAGCCCCCCACTTAGCAAGCCGTTGTGTAATCTTCATTCAAGTCAGGTCGATTTACAATTAATCAAACACATTCCTTATTTTCTGTACATGTTTTTCTTTTCTCGAGAACTGATATCAATAGAGACGCTAAGTGTTTTAATATTTAAATTTTAATATATTCTTGTGCATTTAGAAAAATACAAAAACGTCCCAATGAAATTTGAACTAATTTGCATATAGGAGCGTTCTGTGCAGCATTGTAAACTAGCAAGGCCACAGCGTGCAGATTTTGGTCCTGTGTGTCTAGCTCCTAGTCTCTGCTTTGGCTATGATGTTGCTTCGAACACGTTCTAGCGCCACTTTTTAAAAATGACAGTATGGCACACAAAGAGGAGTGGCCTGAATCAGAACTTTCAAAAACCGAGGTACTAGGGTCATATTTCAGCACATGCAGATTGCTTCTTAAAAAAAAAAAGAGGTATATATATGGATACATGGATACGATTTCACAGCCTTTCTCTCTTTACACACTTATCCCATAACACGTATTTTTGCAATCGTGTTTAGTAACGGTTATTTTGTAATAAATATTGTCATAGGCTACTATATTTCAAACGAATATATCAAGATAAATTAGCATTAATTTAAATACCAACGTTTAATTTAAACTAATCAAAACTAAGAACATTTAATAAATATTTCATTGAGTCATTGAGACCGATTTTCATGTTCTGAATATCTTCCTTTTTTTTACTGTTTAGTTTATCCAAATAAAACGAATTGATTGAATTTGTTTCTCAACTTGACAACGCTTGAAATCAATAGTGAAAAAATAGAAGCAGTGCAGGACATTTCTGAATACTGGAATTGATTTTTAGAGACATTTCAGCCATGTTGAAAACAGTAATGAATAACAAGCCATGCTGTGGAGTGAAAAGTGATAAGGTCCCTACTAAAAAGGCCCGAATTATGTGCCACGTTAAAAGAATACGTGAGAAAGTGATGGGTACACAGCCCATGCTAACCCATACTCAACCTGACCGCTCAAATATGAGAGACTGCGTTGTAAATATTAGAGATATATATGGAAGAAATAAAATGGCTAATGAATTTTCTGCAAGAAAGAATGCTGCAACCCCACTCGACACCACGTAGATTTTTAAATGCACCGATTTTACACACTGGTTTTACTTTTGGGCCTATATTTGCATATTCAACTGACTAATGCAAGTTCCCCGACTAATACATCCCCTGTTAAAAATTACAGAGGAAACTTTTCGCTATTTATGTGCGGAAATTTAGTCTACATTGCATATTGATAAAAGTCACTCAAGTCTAGGTAAAACTAATAGACACTTACGTTTTATTGACCAATATAATTAGCACAAATACACTAAACTGGTTTTATTGCATCTCACAACAATCTGCTGTTAATAGCCTAAACACAACGCCATTACAACAAAAACTAAATGATAATTTAAAGTCTTAACCTTTCCATACGACAGATAACCCACAGCATGATTTACATTTAAAGAAAACAAAGACGTTTTAAAATATTTTTTTTTCTATCGATACCCACGATAGAGATTTTCATTTACAGTACAAAAAAAACAAAAACAAAAAAAACCTACCAGCTCTCTCAAGTGAGAAATAAATAGATTCGTTGTGCACTTCACCTTGGCAGCTGGGCAAAGAAAGGCCCACGCATTTGAGTAAAATTTCCATAACCTGCATCGCCCAAATCATTTCTCTTAAAAAAACTATATTGATTCAGTTTTAGATAAATTAAACCCTGTTTCGCGTAAAAAATAATCCATAGGTATTCGCAATAATCCATGCTATATAACATGCATTTTATATAACTGTGGACTTAAAGGAACCCCCTTTACGCACAAGATACCTACGAAAACAAAATATATTATATTTTATAAATAATCAGTCATTTGATCTTCCCTTCTCTCCTCGAAATAGTTCTCTTATAACCTTGTAATATCCTCGCCACGCTCGGTTCCGGAGAGGTCCTCGGAGGCTGACATGGTGTTAGTGGTGGAAGCTGCCGCCACAGCGCCAGCCGCTGAGCTTGTGTTGGACCCGGAGGAAATGCCCGTGGAGGAAGAGGATCTGACTTTGGTGTTTGGAAGTCTATGGTCTTTTTTCCACTTCATCCTGCGGTTCTGAAACCAAATTTTGATTTGCCTCTCCGAGAGGACCAAGGAATGAGCAATCTCGATACGTCTTCGCCGTGTTAAGTACCGATTATAGTGGAATTCCTTCTCCAATTCTAAGACTTGCTGGCGAGTGTAAGCAGTTCTAGACCGCTTGGGTTCCGCTCCATTGTAATTAGGGTTCACTGGAAAGAGGAGAAGCAAAGGGAAAGGAAGAAAGAACAGAACAGAATAGAAAAGAAAAGAAGCAGCGAGGGAAGGATAGGGTAAAACAAGCGTGTCTTTCATTGAGAAATGGTGGCGACAGAGGAAATGAGGGTGGGCTAAAATATCTAAAAGTTAGCTTTCTATAATAAGGCTAAAATCACATTGGACTCAGCACTGAATTATTAATGCAACATTATAAAGCTTAGTTTTTCTCTGGTCCCAGATCTCTCTCACTCTCTCGCACACTCATAACAAGAGAAGCCACATGGTGATACGACTGCCCAGAGTATACCTCGGCTATAAAATTTATGGTGGGTGTAATTACCAATGCCTAGTCGTAAATCCGCCTCAATTGTGCCATTTCAAAGGCTTCTATCCTATCGTAGCAGAGGCTGGCCAGGGGATGAGTGTAAAAAGGAGTGAGGCAGACGGAGAGAGAGAGTTAGGATGAGGGGCGAGCTTTATAGTGCTTAAGAGAAATACACTCAAGTTGCCTACCGGTGCTGACGTGAATTTTCTTCATCCAGGGGTACACTACGGGTTGTTTGGCAGAAGCTGAGCTGTTGGGATGCTCCGGAGTGGCTTGATTGCAGGCGGACGATGCAGCCGGAGGGGTGGCAGGAGACAGGGTTAACGGTGGGGGCTCACATGAGGCAGATTGCCCTTTTCCGAGCAGGTGCCCCGCGTGAGGCAGTCCATGTCCTCTTTGAGTATCAGGCTCAGGGATGCTTGCACAGTTATACGGACGCTCCTGGTAGCTTGCCCGCGGAGGGTATAACTCCTGGTGGTGATGCTGGTAGCCACTGTCCCTTGCACGGCTGTAATATTCGGGGCTATGCTCGGGAATGTAGCTATTTTGCGAATATTCCTCGCAAGGAGGAAATTTCGGATCGATGTAGTTAGAGTCCATCAAATACGAGCTCATGATCATTAATTTCTGGAGTGGAAAATAATTTTTCTAGCTTTGTCGTTTTTCTGCTCCATAAAGCCCTCCTACTAGCGAGCAACCCTGTAAAGTTACTTTTACCACGTGATACGATGGCCCAATGGCATGGGGCGATGTAGTCCCCGGATAAGGAACCACAGCTTTCGCAAATATACCTTCAATTTTCCGCCATTGTCCGCGAAGTCTTTGAGTCTCTCTATCCCTCTCTCTCTCTCTCCCCCCTTTCTCGCTCTCTCACACACTCATGCACAATGGCCAAATCTTCTTGGATCATGCCACAGCACCTAGGGATGTTTCTCAGATAACGTGTGCATGTTACCTAAAAGATTTTCGCTAATTACACTGTTTAAAAAATATTATTAAAATTACATTAAAAAAATAATCCATCACATTTAAACTTCAGTAAAGGATCAAATACAATACTACTAAAACTACGGCTATAATTACACTACACTATCCAGAGCAATTTTACCATGCTTTTTATTACAGCACGTTACTTAAAATGCAGGCAAATAAATATTTTAGTATTAACATATTTTCACTTATCTCTAACCTAACTATGTCAGTGCAAAGCAAATTTCCTGGATAATTGGCAATAGCCTTATATACAGTTAATATTAGAACCAAGTAACGCTACGTTAGAAATTATATGTATACAGTTTACTAAGATTCGACGGCTTCAGCCAAAATGTGGAGGTTAAGAGCAGATTTGGTGTTTAATTAAGCTATAAAGGCTTTAAATCAACCGTATACATGCGACGGCATACATCATATTTCCGCTTTTACGTCTTGTACAAGTTTGGCTAAGAATGTTTATGTCTTCATGCAGTAGCAGTTCATTCGAACTCCTCTACTTATGATAGTAAGCACACAAGACGTTCATGCAAAGTCACGTGCCTCTGATCGAGAGGAATACAGACCCAACTTGGATTTCGTGGCTTTTACGTCGCCCATGTATTCCTGTAGAGACGTATTTGCGATTTTCATGTTCTGGACACAAATTCGGTTCTACAGGGTACATATAGACGACTTCTGACATGCCTTTCTTCGACTGGAAGTTTTGAAAAAGAATTCAACGTACAAAATAAGTCAGGTTAGACTATGAACCTCTTCACCATCTTGAATAGGGTTAAAGCATTTTCTGGGGAGAGGTTTCTGTTTGGCATCTACAATATTTGGTCAGAATTAATATCTAGGGTCAGAACTGGTGCAATAGTATTTTTTTTAGTAATATTTGTTTGTCATTACTTAAAAAAAATTAATTGCATTTTATTTTTTTCTTTATTTAATTTTCTTTAATTATTTTAAAGAATTTGGCAACAAGACTCAACAATTAGGAGTGAGACCAACAACTAAATTTTTTAAAGACCGATTTGGAAATGCTTTTATTTATTTAGAATCATATTTATTTATTTTTTGTTTGTTTGTTTGGACACTTAATTTATTAGCCTTTTCACTTGAATGTACTCGTACACGACAAACTCATTGTTCCATTCAACAAAAATTAATTAATTTCATTACCAAAATATTTATTCGTTGAGGTAAAATGTTTTTTTACGATTTCTGCTTTTTTCATAATTTCCATATCACATTTCAACACTCCAATAGGTTGAGTAAATGAAATTGAGAGCATAAAATAAACAGTGACTGGGTATGAGAGGGAAAAACGATAAATAATTTTGCTATCAAATTCTATTAAATCTCGAAAACATAGGAGCACCCACTTGAATATTCCGTCTCAAACTTGTTGTGCACAATGCGGACACGTGACAGCACTGATGAAAAATAAGTTTCTTTTGTTCCTTGGGGTTTATTGTGCACGCTATTACCATATGACCGCCTGGTAACCTGCAAGACCGTGCCCTGCATTTCTCTCTCCAGTTTAGCTATCTAAACAGGAATAGATAAGAAACAAATAAGGAAACAAAGCAAGCAAAGAAAAAAGAAATAAAAACTTTTTAGAAACAATATAGGCAACAGAGCCCACATTTTCAAATCCAGTTTTCAACCCACCAGAGAAAAATAAGAAATTAGTTTTAAGTTTTCCCTAAATACATCGAAACCAAACAGACAGGACATAACTCTTTAACAAATGAAATGCTCGGAAACAGCCGTTTTGCCTTATATGAAATCTTCGAGACCCTACATATGTGATGGGATTTTTTTTGTCCACCCCCACCGGCTTGAAAACGCCACCATCCACCCACTCGGCACTGCTCTAGTGTTGCGGGCGCATTTTAATATTAGTTAGACAGCCTGACCCGCATTTCACCCCTCGTGTTCGACTCGTTCCAGTAGTTCACTGCCAAGGAGTTATTGATGAGCGAAAAGCGATGAATTCCCTCTGCACATAAATGGCCTCAGATCCTGCACCAGCTCAATAACTAGTTATAATGTAGAGACTTCCAAAAAGCTAAAACCGCCGGCGAATTTGCCTGATGATTTATAGGTGATTCCCCCCAGACATAGACAGACAGACAGACAGACAGATAGATAGATAGATAGATAGATAGATAGATAGATAGATAGATAGATAGATAGATAGATAGATAGATAGATAGATAGATAGATAGATAGAATAGGATTCAGCAGAAAATTCTATGTAAAGAAGGTGGGATTTTATATGGAAGAATATGCCAGTTGTCCATAACCAGAATCTAGTGTGTGTACTCTTGAACGAATGACATTTTAGGCCTATATGATATTTAATGTATGCGATTTGCAATAATTTTGAATGATTTCATTTTTGGGCGCATAATTCTTGCCTTATAAATATCAAGTTAATTTTAGTTCACGTGACCTAAGCTGTTCTACAATATAAAAAGGACCAGGCCTCACCTATTATTTATTTATTTATATCCTTTTGCGCTCTTAAGTATTTAAAGTCAGATTTAAGTTTGTTTTATATAATTATATGCGTACTTTTGATTGTGAAATGTTTCTTTGTTAAGAAATCATGAATATGATTATACAGCATTGATTAATTATTTGAGTAATAGGATCAATTTATTTGAGTTTGTTGTCCGTCTGTTCACTGTGAACAAAATACGTTTTTTATTTATTTATTATTTTTTACATGATTTTTTATATGACTTTATATTTGTATAAAAATGATTTTTGTTTATGACTATTTTAACGCTTAATATGCTTAAAACAGAGAGGTGAGTCGGGTTACACATACAATTTTGTATTTACATTTTAATGTATGTAATTGTTAATTTAGTTTTATTGTAATTTATATTGAAATATGGCGTTAGATTACACCTATTTAACACCTATGTATGTAAATAAATAGACCGTGTTTACTTGTAGAAAATTGTTGTTTTTCCCCCAAATGTGTATAAACATTTACTTTTTTGTCTAGCCTACATTAAAAAAATATATAAAGAGAGCTTATTGGCTTAGCACGACAAACAGCTTAAACTACAGCTCCTTTCCACTAAGACATGGGCATATGTGCTGTAGATGTTCGCCGCTATTGGCAGGGAACACTGCCCTCTGTGTTTATACACAGCGAAACAAGATGGGACAAGAATATTATACTAGAACAAGAAAATAACGGAAAGACTTACCAGTGCAACGATGAGGTCCTCCTTGCCCTCACGTTCACAATTTCCTTATGCGCTAAAAAGAAAGAAAGCAATTTAGAAAATAAAAATAAATAACACTTGTCTTCTCAGGCATGTAAGTATATTATTTTTCAACAATATAAAACGTTTGACAGATTTAAAATAATCGAAAAATCCTGTGATGGAATTCATGCACTCCTTCAGTATCCTGGTAAGTATATAAAAATAATAATAATAATAATATATATATGCATGAAATATGTCAGTTGTTCAAAAAACTATCTTGTCTGACAGCTGAATGTTATGTCTGAAAATTATGTTTAATAATTAAATTTTTAATACTGAAAGTTAATACTGAAAATTATGTTTTAATGTTTTTAGTACAACTTCTCTTTGACTCTCATTGAGGGTGAACTGTCCAAAGGCATGATCTTTTAAAGTAGGACAAGGCTATGCATTTAGCACAGGTTATTTTCAGAACTATTTCCTTGATGGATGTAGTTATTTTTGCAACAATGGAGGACCTACAATGAATTCCTACTTGGTCAGGTTAGCTTCGGCTGTTTGAATTGGATATATATATATATATATATATATATATATATATGTAAATATGCATACTGTGAATTCACATACAGTGTTGGGCCACTGTTTGTCATTGAGACCAATGGCAAAGAATATTTAACCCGAATGTTAACCATAATACTAAAGCAAAGAAAATAATATAAGAGTAATGTAATTTTAAAAAGTATGGTGATATTATATACACATAGAGGGAAACATAACTGTTTTATGTATATACTCAATGCTACAATTAAACAAGCTCAAAACTGGAAAAAGGTACACAAAAAGGTACTTCTAAACACTATGGTATAATTTCAGCCAAATGTAAACTGTGTTTATTCATAAGCTCTAATTCCTGCTTTAAAGTAATTTGCTATTACATACCAATGTTTCAATGTAGCAAATGCAGCATGTTGTCATGACCAAAAGTTTCCTTAATAAAACATAATCTTGACATTATTTAAAAAAAATCACAAGTCCAAATACCAACTGCAATTTTTCCCCCCATTCATTCACCTCATCCATCACTGAATGAAGAACAGTTTATCCACAAAGATAACAAAGGTACTGTTTTCTATATTTTTAAAATGCTTGTTCAAACAGGAACTTTCTACAAACAGATCGTGAATTGTTCCAAAATTTAAAGCATTGCATTTTTTAGTTACTCTGCATGCAGTGGCATGATTTTCAACTCTTGTCATTTACTCATTCTTTCTAAAGTTACCAATGTAGTGAATGTAACTGCTGCCATTTTCATTGAATGGTTAGTTAGATAGTAATCTGGTAGATGACAAAATAATATGTTGAACCAAGACTAACCTGCACTGAGACGAAAACAGAGGAATATAAAACTATTGCCCCCTATTGGCAGTTAATGTTTTTGACACAGTATTCAAAGACTTAATGGTCAAATAAAAAGATGCACATAAGGGCTTATTAAAAATAGTGAAGTTAAATGTAATTCTTTATAATAAATGCCACCAACAAATTCATTTGAATTTATTAAGTGTTTCCATCACTCATGTACAACAATTGTTATAAAATAAAGTGTTTATCTTTTTTCATAACAGTGGACATTTACTGAATGTGACGTGACAGTGACGTGACATGTGGCCAAGTATGGTGACCCATACTCGGAATTAGTGCTCTGCATTTACCCATCCAAAGTGCACACACACACCGTGAACACACACCCGGAGCAGTGGGCAGCCATTTATGCTGCGGCGCCCGGGGAGCAGTTGGGGTTCGGTGCCTTGCTCAAGAGCACCTCAGTCGTGGTATTGAAGGTGGGAGAGAGCGCTGTACATTCACTCCCCCCACCTACAATCCCTGCAGGTACGAGACTCGAACCCACAACCTTTGGGTCCGACTCTCTAACCATTAGGCCACGACTTCCCCATGTGTTTTATGTGTTTTAATAGCAAATGTGATGGTTGCAGGTTGTACCACTGTACTCACCACATGACCCATTTATTCTCTGAATGACTAACCATTTTCCAAACCCTCAAAAAATGTTATGTAAAATGCTGTAGTTAACATTATATTGATTAATATTCTAGTCAGTGTACAATAGGGAATATTATCCACCTCGATCAACCTTTGAGTGAGTAACACCTGCACCTACTCTGAGCCAAAAATGGTACCAACAGATATTAGCTATACACTTCTGCTTTGATGTGATAAAAACAGTGGAGTACATTCATATGATGTCCTTGTCAGCATGGTTGTTCTTACAATAACTGAATATAAACACATAAATAAGAACACAACATAATCTGAGAAAAGCATCTATGTAAAATAAATAAATAATAACAATTTAAAAAGTTTACTTTTTTAATTGTAATTGTTTAAATGTTTCTAGATTTATAGACTAGTCAATTTCTGATTTCATAAAGTATGGATATTAAAAATGGAAGATATATAAATGCAAATGTATAAAAATTGATTGTGGAATTGCATGACTATTGAATCAATGCTATTAAATTGCTTTTTTATGTATTTTTTGAAGTGTTGTGTAACATTCTTGCATATATTATAAGCAGCCATACTTGTGTATAATTCACAACAATAATGATTGATTACTGCAATGAATTGGTAAACTTTGATTATTTAATCTATGTTTTTGTTAGAATATCAAATAAGATAGACTTAGACTTACACTTAGGTTACACACAGTTATTCCTGTATAAGCAACTTTATCAACTTTAACTTAATAACAGCTTTAACTTAAAGGGGTCATATGATGCGATTTCAAGTTTTCCTTTCTCTTTGGAGTGTTACAAGCTGATTGTGCATAGATAAGATTCCTGAAGTAGGAAAGACTAAAGTCTCAAAACCAAAGAGATATTCTTTATCAAAGTTAAGACTCTCCCACGCCCCCCTAAAACGGCTCGTTCCAGCAAGCCCCCACATATCTACCTCACTATGTGGAAATATTAGCATAATGCCACCCAAATGTTCACGCAAAGAAAGAAGGCGTGGATTCAGTAACCGCAGTTAGTGTTGAAGCAGCATGTCGGGGAGACGCTGTGTGTTTCTAGGCGAAAGCAAAAGCACTTTATTTGGCCTTCCGAAAGTAGATGCATTTAGGAATCTTTAAGATTACTTACAACAGAACAGCAATGCATTTTATGGACGACCGTTTCGTGAACCTATAGGAGAGGAGGTCATTCTGACTTTGCTATGACAATCTGGCGCTTCTGAATCAGCTACTGTTTTGTTATTAGTTTAAGTATTTGCTATTGACTGTTCAAATGCAGAGTTTTGCGCATTGTGTGTGTGTGTGAGAGAGAGAGAGAGAGAGAGAGAGAGAGAGAGAGAGAGAG